GGAGGCTGATGAAGAAGATGAGACGTCGGAGAAGGAGGAGTAGGAGGATGAGGATGAGGATGATGCTGCTGATGACGATGCTGCTGTTGTTGATGATGATGATGACGATGATGACGATGACGGTGACGATGCTGACGATTATGCTGCGGATTGTGTTGATGCTGAGCATGATGGATGATGGTGATGATGATGCTGCTGCTGATGATGACGGTGCTGCTGATGCTGCTGTTGATGCTGATGGTGATTATGATGATGATGCTGCTGATGATGTTGATGATGATCGTGATGGTGATGGTGCTGCTGTTGCTGTTGATGATGATGATGCTGCTGCTGATGCTGTTGATGCTGATGCTGATGATGCTGCTGATGACGTTGGTGGTGGTCGTGGTGGTGGTTGTGGTTGTGGTGGTGGTGAGGAGGAGGAGGAGCAGGGGGAGGAGGAGCAGGAGAAGGAGGCGGGCAGCGCCCGCACGTTGCACAGGATCTCATTCACTTCCTGATTGCGGTGTCCTTCCTCCGTGCACCGTGCTAATATGACGGGCTTGATCCTCCCCCTCTTGCCGCCGCCGCCGCCGACTGACCTTTTGTCCTCGTCTCGTCCCTCTGTTGTCCGCCTGCCCTCTTCTCGTCCCTTTCTGGTGAGTGCGCCCCTTCAATGCGGGCCGCGCGTCGCACAGTTACAGTCGCGCCGCGGGACAAGAAACACCCTGCGTTTCGTCAGAGTGCCCTGGGTTTCTTGGGCTGGCGTCTGGCGTGGAGGGTTGCCGCAATCCAGGAGAAACTGCAAGTGACAGGGCCCTCTGGGTTTCTTCGGCGTCGGTGCATTGGGTTTACCGATGCCGAATTGCTCTACGCAGGCGCTCCAGAAACCGCTCGGGACAGGGCACCCGAGGTTTCTTCGTTTCTTCGTTTGCAGCCGAAGTGCAAGAAACCCAACACTGGATCGAGGGTAGGGCTTCTTGCGGTAGGCTTCTTGTGGATGAACATCCACAGTACTCGAAACTCTAACGAGCCCACCTACTTTTCCCAATTCTCTATGTACCGCTGCCTTTTCCTGCACCTGCTTGCGGCCGTGCTGAGGCAATGCGTATCGCCTAGGTCGGTCGTCTCTCTTTCTCTCTCTCTCTCTCTTTCTGTCTCTTTTTTGTGTCTTCTCTATCTCTCTCTCTCTCTCTTTCTCTCCCTCCCCGTTTCCCTCTCCCTTTCTCCTCCTCCTCGTCCTCCTCCTTCCTCTCGTCCCCCTCCTCCTCCCCCTCCTCCTCCTCCTCCTTCTCTTCCTCCCCCTCCTCCTCCTCCTCCTCAGCCTCCTCTTCTCCTTCACTTTTTTTGTTGTTCCTCTCTCTCTCTCTTTCTCCTCTTGCCGCCCAGACGCTGCGATCATCGGACCGCAGTGCGTGCGGCGCAACACACGAGCAGATCACGGGGGGAGGGGGAGGCGGCCCTCCCCCTCCCCAGGCGACGCGGGCGAGGCCCAAATCGGAACATTCCAGCATAATCAAACAATAGTCAGGGGGCGATTTTTCGTGCTCCTTGGACCATTTGAAACAACTTCCGTTTATTTTGACAATGCTGTGCTTTTTCGTTTTTTTTTTTTTTGTCACGTGCTCATTTGACATGTTTTTTTGGTGCTCTTTTGACCAGTGTTTTTTGTCAGTTTTTTTTTCTATGTCTCCTCCAAAATCCGCATGTCGGAGGATATGCCCGACCTGATGCTGGTGCGCGCGCACACTACGGCGATCGCAGCGCACTCCGCCCCGACGTGCACGCCCAAACGCTTCCCTTCACCTGGGGCCCCATTCCCCCGCTCCAGGCCTCCTCGGTGGGGTCCGTGTATAGATGGGGTCGGAGAATCGCACCGCATCGCCGATGCATCGGCGATGCGGCTCGATGTGGACTTCGACTTTCTCCACGCCGACGTCACCGATGCATCGCCGACGTCGCCGATGTATCGCCGATGCATCGCCGATACATCGGCGATGTGGTGCAACCCTCTGGCCCCATCTGCTCGAACTCCATTTGAGAGGCCTCCACCCCTCCCCAGGGGTGGCGACTCGGACGCGGCCAGGACGAGGATAAATCCGTTCCAGAGCGTTCTGGAATGTTCTCCGAGCGTTCCGGAACGCTCTGAGCAGGCCGCGGCGCCCGAGGAATCCTCCAGAGCCGCCGGATCTCAGTGATTCTCGACTTGTCCTCACCCGAGTTGATCCTCGTCCTGGCTTCGTCTTAGCGACCGTCACTCGGCAGAATGAAAGATAAACTCTAGGTCCGCTGCAGGAGCTCGCTTCCAGGGCCCCTCCGCCGGGATCCAACCTGCGCACGCCGCCGCCAGTTCTGACGCCTGTCGGAGGCCTCTTGGGGGCCGCTTGGGGACCTCTTGGGGGGCCTCCTGGGGCGTCTTGGGGCGGACGGGTCGAAATATCGGTTCGTGTTCCCCCTCTGGGAGATCTCTCTTGGGGTGTTCTTGGGGCCCTTTTGGACCGTCCTGGGGGCCTCTTTGGCCGTCTTGGGGGCCTCCGGGGCCGTGTCGGCGCCCTCTTGATGGCCTCCTGGGCCGTCTAGGGGTGTTTTTTTTGCCTCTTGTTCCGTCTTGGAGCGTCGGGAACCCGAAAAGGCGGAAACGCCCAAATCTTTTAAGCAAACCATAAGGAAATACATGAATGTTGCCGCTCGGGGCAGTCGTGGGAGTGCTCTTGGAGGCCTCTTGGGGCGTTTTGGAGGTTTCTTGGGCCGTCTGCAGGCCATCTTCGGCGTCTTGGAGCGACGTGTGTTGGGCGGGCACAGCGTCCAGAGGACCAGGCCCGGAACACCAGGGTTCGGGGCCCTCAAGAAATTTTCAATCTTGACAGGCTGCAGCAGAAGCGCTGACCTCGTGCCAGAGGCACGGTGGCGCATACAGTCGACCCGCACAGGGAGGATGAGCGACTTTTCCAAGGGTGCCTCTGCATCCTCATGCCTCCTCGGCCCATCCTTGACCACTCTCGCTGGCCGCACCCCGCTCGGCAAGCTTCGGAATGGGCGTCTGAGGCCCTCGCATCCTCATCGCGCATCCTTCCGAGAAGGGCCGGCCGTAGGTGTGTGATGCGTGCACGGTGCTGCGCCCTGGCCCGAAGCTCGATCCGAAGCTCAGCCGACGCAGCTCACACTGGGCTGCTGCGGTCGGCGTGCCAAGGCCGCGCGCCGGTGCCGGCCCGCTCCGGGGCCCTTCCGGGGCCCCGCGCCCCCGCGTGCCCCGCCGACGGCGCCCCTTCGAGCCACGCCGACGGCGAGGTCTTCTGTGCCCGCGCGCCGAACGTTGCCGTGCCGCTCTTGCTCCGGCGCACGGCCCTCCGCCTTGGGGAGGGCGCCGCGGGCACCGGGCGATCGTTTTGCCGATCGGCGCAGGCCCTCGCACCCGCCGCTCCCCCGCCCCGCCCGTGGAGCAGATCGTGGCTGTTTCTGGCGCCCGCTTCGTGCAGGCGGCGTCCCCCCCCCCCCACAGGACGCACTGTTGCAAACAGTCGCGTGAGGGTCGGCAACTCCTGGGAGGTCAAATTGGGATTTTGTCCTGGTCCGAAATCCCGCTTAATCTGGCTAAATCCCGCTCCATCCCGCTGAATGCCGCTTAATCCGAGGCCCATTCCGGCGTAACGGCCCCCCCCCCAATGGGGCCTGATCTTCCTCGATCTTTTCGCGACGAAGACCTCCCAGTAGTTGCCTCCTGACGTTAGGCAGAGGTCTGGGGCCAGATCCCCCCCCCATGCCGCCCAATGCCGAGGCGCCGCATGAGAAACAAAACGTTCGCCGGGGCAGAAGCGCCGCCTCCAGCGCGGCAGGTCTGCCGCGGGGGGCAGCTGCCGCGGTGCCCGGCTCTGCTCGTCTGCGGTGCGGGGGCGGGGGCCCCATCGGCGTCCCCCCCAGCATGCCTATGCTATGTGTGCGCGTCTCCCCCCCCCAGGGGCGACGCGCGCACTGTGACGTCTCACAGCATGTGCGTCGTGGCGGGCGCTTTCTTGCCGCACACCGCTCGGGAAGCGATATACTACGGCATACTGTATGCTCGGGTCGGACGCGCGCCTCCGAGGAGGATGTGTATATATATATATATATATATATATATTCGATATATATATATATATATATATTATATATATATATATATCTATATATATAGTTATAGATATAGATGTACACATACATTAGTATGTATGTCTATGTGCGTCCCACCCCAGGGCTTGCCGTGGGCTTGCCGTGGTGCCGGCGCTGTCCACTTGGGCGCGCTCCGAGCAGACGGCACGGTCTCACAGAACGCTTCGTGGACATACGCGCAGCGAGAGATGCATCGCGGCCCACGGCCAGCGGCTCTGGCCAAGCCCTTTGCACCGCCGGCGCCCTGCGAGGCGTCGCTCTGCAGCACGGACGCGACCTGCCGGCGCCACCGCCCCGCCAAGGGGAAGTGCGGGCTCTTCGAGAGGAGGAGGGGGAGGAGGAGGAGGAGGAGGAGGAGGAGGAGTAGGAGGCGGAGGAGCAGGAACAGGAGCAGGAGCAGGAGCGGAGCAGGAGCAGCAGGAGGTGTTTTTTTAATTTCTCAATCTCTCTGGTTTTCCCAAGCATGCTGTGGTGTTGGGTCCTCGATTTGAAGAGACGGTCCCCTCCTCCTCCTCTTCCCCCTCCTCCCTGCCGTCCGCATGCGTCCCGCACACCCAGTACAGCGTTTCGTGGCCCCATAGGGAGTCCCACCGAAGGCCCCAGTGCTGCCGCCCGCATGCGCCACGCACACCCATTTCGGCACACCCCTCACACGCTTCGTGGCCCCATAGGGAGCTCCACCGAGGGCCCCAGTGGCTGCGTTCGCATGGCGGCACCGCGCCATTTCGGCACACCCCTCACACGCTTCGTGGCCCCATAGGGAGCTCCACCGAAGGCCCCAGTGGCTGCGTCATGGCGGCACCGCACCCCATTTCGGCACACCCCTCACACGTTTCGTGGCCCATAGGGAGCTCCACGAAGGCCCCAATGGCTGCGTTCGCATGGCGGCCCGCCGCTCCATTTCGGCACACCCCTCACACGCTTCGTGGCCCCATAGGGAGCTCACCGAAGGCCCCAGTGGCTGCGTTCGCATGGCGGCACCGCACCCATTTCGGCACACCCCTCACACGTTTCGTGGCCCCATAGGAAGCTCTACCGAAGGCCCCAATGGCTGCGTTCGCATGGCGGCACCGCACCCGCACACCCCTCACCCGGTTCGTGGCCCCATAGGGAGCTCCACCGAGGGCCCCAGTGGCTGCGTTCGCATGGCGGCACCGCACCCATTTCGGCACACCCCTTACACGTTTCGTGGCCCCATGGGGAGCTCCACCGAGGGCCCCAGTGGCTGCATTCGCATGGCGGCACTGCACCCATTTCGGCACACCCCTGACACGTTTCGTGGCCCCATACGAAGCTCTACCGAAGGCCCCAGTGACTGCGTTCGCATGGCGGCACCGCGCCCATATCGGCACACCCCTCACACGTTTCGTGGCCCGTGAGGGAGCTCCACCGAGGGCCCCCGTGGCTGCGTTCGCATGGCGGCACCGCACCCATTTCGGCACACCCCTCACCCGGTTCGTGGCCCCATAGGGAGCTCCACCGAGGGCCCCAGTGGCTGCGTTCGCATTGCGGCACCGCACCTATTTCGGCACACCCCTCACACGTTTCGTGGCCTCATAGGGAGCTCCACCGAGGGCTCCAATGGCTGCGTTCGCATGGCGGCACCGCGCCCATTTCGGCACACCCCTCACACGTTTCGTGGCCCCATAGGGAGCTCCACCGAGGGCCCCAGTGGCTGCGTTCGCATGGCGGCACCGCGCCCATTTCGGCACACCCCTCACACGTTCGTGGCCCCATAGGGAGCTCCACCGAGGGCCCCAGTGGCTGCGTCCGCATGGCGGCACGCGCCCATTTCGGCACACCCCTCACACGCGTGGCACCACCGCCCCACTGCGTTCGCATGGCGGCACCGCACCCATTTCGGCACACCCCTCACACGCTTCGTGGCCCCATGGGGAGCTCCACCGAGGGCCCCAGTGGCTGCGTTCGCATGGCGGCACCGCACCCATTTCGGCACACCTCTCACACGTTTCGTGGCCCCTTAGGGAGTTCCCTCTCATTCGTTCAACCTGCTTTGCGGTACTCGTAAGTGCATATGGTTGGGTCCATCGCCAGGATATTTGTTTTTCTCTATCTCTCTCTCTTTCTCTCCCTCTCTCCCACGGGATGTTTGAGCTGTTCTAGCCTCATGCCCTGTGCTCGCCCGTAGCCAGTTTGGCTCAAATTCCAAACGTGTCTCCTGACGCTTGGAGCTCGCGTGCAGCCAAGGGGGAGGCTCGAAGCTCCCGTGGTTTCAGGTGCAGCCTTGCCTGACGCCTTGTGAGTTCCTGGCGGAGCGAGATCACGAACCCTCGGGCGCTCCGCGTCTTCCAAGATTGTTCGGACACATGTCCAATGGCGGCGGCGGCGCAGGTCAGATCCTACCATGCCCGCGCCTTCAATTTGGGCTTGCCCTACATGTGGCAACAGCGCTGACTGGGCATGCAGAACTGTTTGCCGCTGCGGTCAGAGAGCGAATGCATATGTTGTCCGTCGCACTGACCAGCAGGCCTGCGTTCATTCATCTAGTGGTTGAGGAGTCAAGGTTCAGAACCCTGTACGTCGTCGGGGCCCTGTTGCTGGATCTGATCCACTCCAGAAGCACTCTGTTCGACAAGCTTATGGGGTCTCTGGTCGCAGTTCACCTCCTATGCCCTCCCGGGCTGACCCCAGAGGCACCGACAGCAAGGACAAAACCGAATTCCAGGAGAAAGCCGAACAGTTGGAGTCGGTTCGCGCGTCCCGCGCAAAGTTGTGAAAGAGTGGCAAAGCAGTTTCAGAGTCTCTCCAAGCCCAGCCCTCGGAGGCGAGGAAGTCTCCCGCGAGCACGAAGCCGCAGCTGGTCCAGCACACCAATGCTGGGCACAAGCTCCCCTACAAGGTCAAGAGGAACGAGTCCTTGGAACATGTACCTTGGACCAGCAGGAGGTCATTCGGGTCGCTCAAGAAAATATCGACTCTATGCGTGCACAGGTGGTGGCCATCGACATCGATATGACAAATCTGAACAAGGAGCTTGTTCAGACGCTTCGGATGGATTCTGGCGACGCATCCCCAAGCCGAAGCTTTTCGCACACTCATGCAGACCTAAGCGTTTCAAGCTTTCACGGCCGTCGCACCAGAGACCGTCAAAGTCAAGCAGCCCACGGGGCCCGTCAAGAGCGCCAACCATTTCACAATCGTTGGCCAAGGAGCCTCGCAGGCGGCCAGTTCTCCGGGTGGTGCGGCTACTGCTGTTGGCGCTCCTCTCCCCACTCGTGGTGAGCACATCCTCGTCGACGGCGCCGACATGTATGTGGACCTGCTCGACGGAGATGTTCTGGATCAGCTGGGCGAGGCTGCCGAGGCCCTCGACAAGGCCGAGTTCGATGGGCGGTTCTATCTCGAGGGCTTGCGCCGCGTCAAGCCGCACCATGGGTGGCACAGTGCCCTTGTGTTGCGGCCTGCCTCTTTTGAAATGCGGAGTTCCTGCTCCGCCCCCGCCGCCCCCTGTCTCCCCGTGTCGCCTCGTCCTCTGAGCTTGGAAGGGGCACTGGGGCACTGGGGTCGAGACTTGCAGCGCGAACTGTCAGCCCCCGTTGCGCGAGCGTCTACGTGACACCTCCGCGAGCCTCCTCTCGGCGCAGGAGGGCGCTTTCCTCCCGGAGGGCTAGTTCGGAGAGTGGGTTAGGCTGGGAAATCGCACCCCCCGCTCCCCGCTCCCCGGGGAGGCTGGCCGCGCCGAGGGGGGGAGTGGCGGTGTTCGTTCGCTCGCACCTCGGCCTCTGATGGCCAGCGGATCTCCCGGGCATCCTCTACCATATGCGTCTCGCGCATGCGGTGGTCGACCTCCTGGGTCGGCCCGGGCTCGACGTTCTGTTCGGGTGCCTTGAGAGTGATGCGGGCACCGTGCCCGCGAAGCATGCGCCTCCTGCGTCTGAACGGTACCGTCTTTTCCCGGCAGGCAGATGTTTGTCGTCGGTTGCGACTGGGACCTGGGGCCCAGTTTGGTCGAGGCGTCGGGGGTCGTGCGTCGCGCGGGCGGCGCCCTCTCTGTGCCTCGGCAACAGACGTGCCTGTGCACCGGCAGTCTGTCCACGACTGATTATTGTGAAGGCCTGACGGCCGGTGCAGCCGACCCTAAAAGACATCCACGACGACCAGCAGGAGGAGGAGGAGGAGGAGGAGGAGGAGGAGATGAGAAGGAGGAGGAGGAAGAGAAGGAGGAGAAGGAGGAGGAAACGGACTCCCCCCTGGCCCCCCCTCCCCGCTGGGGAGGAGGACCGGAGGATGACCGGCGTGGGAGAGGGGAGGGGAGGGGGAGGAAAACCCCCAGGGACGGATGCGTATCTGACTCCCCTCCCCCCCCTCGGGGAGGAGGACCCGAGGAGGACCAGCGCGCCAGAGAAGCACCGGCGTGGGAGAGGAGGACCCCCAGAGGAGATGCGAATCTGACCCCCCTCCCCTCCCCCTCCCCGAGACCCCCCCCCGCCGGGGAAGGGACACAGGGAAGGGGCTTCCCTTTTGACGTAATGGGGACGTGGATGGAATTCCCTCAAGCTGCGAACCCGTTCCCCGAACGAGGAAGGTTGCTCTGTCTCTCTCTGTTTCTCTCTCTGGCGGGGTGGGGGTGGGGGGTGAGGAAGGGGGTGGGGGGCTGACGATGATGGTGATGATGATGACTATGATCATGCTGATGACGATGATGATCGTGCTGGTGATGATGATGCTGCCGATGATGATAATGCTGAAGAATAGGATGATGATGATGATGATGCTGATGATGATGATGATGATGATGATGGTGGTGGTGGTGATGATGATTGTGATGATTGTGGTGGTGATGATGCTGCTGATGATGTTTATGCTCATGCTTCTGCGCATGCTGATGCTGATGCTGATGCTGGTGACGATGCGCATGATTACGATGACGATGGCGATGGCTATGACGATGTTGGCGATGATGATGATGATGTTAATGGTGGCGATGATGAGGGCGACGACGATCATGGTTTTGATGTTAATGATCATGATGAGGATGCTGATGACGATGACGATGGTGATGGTGATGCACACGATGACGATGATGATGTTGATGCTGAGCTTGATGATAATGACGATGCGCATGGCGAAGATGTTGCTACTGCCGTTGCAACTGCTGCTGCTGATGATGATGACGGTGCTGCTGATGACGATGGTGGCGGCGGTGTTGGTGCTTATGATGATGCTGATTTTGATGATGACGATGATGATGATGATGACGATGATGATGATGATGATGATGATGTTCACGATGAATTTTGGTGGTGGTGATGATGCTGACGATGCTGCTGATGACGATGTTGGCGGCGGAGATGCTGTTGTTGCTGCTGATGGTGACGATGTTGCTGTTGATTAGGAAGAAGATGGGAAATGATGGTGGTGATGATGATCATGATGGTGAGGATGAGGACGAAGAGGATGATGAGGAGGAAGAGGATGGTGATGATGATGATGATGAGGAGGAGGAGGAGGAGGAGGAGGAGGAGGAGGAGGAGGCGGACGACGACGACGACGAGCAAGATGAGGCTTGTGGCGGCGGGCGGAGGGCCGCGCCGCGCGCCGCCGGGCGCTCCGGGATGCCGGGCGGCCGGCGCGCCTCTGCCCCGCCAGTCGCCTGCTCCAGCTGAACAGCGCGAACATCGGGCCCTGGCGGGCCATGGGCGCGCCGCGGCCGCGTTCGCGCGCGTGCGGCCGTTTCGATCTGGCCGCCTGCGGCGAGTCGCGACGTGGCCGTTGCTGTTGCCGGTGTGCCGTTCCTGTTTGCGCATTATATCGTGCTCGCCCGTCGGAGGGAGTTTTGCTCCGAGGCGGTGATTGGTGGAACCCCTCGCGTCGGAGATTCTTCTGGCCGATTCCCTGCGGTGATCTTCATCATTCAGAGAATCGGACACAACCCTCACTCGGATCGTAACGTCAGGGCCAGCGCACACAGCACACAAGAGATATTCAGGATTTTGCTAATAGTTGTTTGGACTAACGGTAGATCAATGGCTCCAAGTATAGTTATTCAGCATTGTCTAAGACACTCTTCCAGCACACGATGGGGTTGCGTGATGTTGCATTGCTGGAAAAGCACGTGCCGTCTGTGGTTCTCAGTGTAGAAATCCAACTTTGCTTTAACTGGGCTTGCCGTGTTCAGAAGGCTGTTTCTCGACATTTCTCTCTAACCGCAATCTCTGGCAATCCCATCAGTGGCCCACCACCGCTTTCTGCTATGAGCCTGGGCACGCGCGCGCCTCTTTTACGCCGCTTTTTCTAGCGTGCATGTGTGCGCGTGTGTAGATAATCACACGTGCGGGGCGTTCCAAGAAGGGCTCTGCTCTCGAGGGCCGAAGGAGCTGTCATCTCTTCCGCGGCGGGAGGCGGCGGAAGGGCGGCGGAAGGTCGGTGGAAGTGACCGCCTCCGGCGTCGGAAGCCGGCCGGGGTTTTCGACATCGCCCAAACAGATACACATAGTTGTTCCCGCCCGCAGGTTTTGTCTTTTTGTTCCGCCCTCTTATGCTGCCGCTGCTGGTGATGATGAAGCTGCTGCTGCTGACGGCGACGATGATGATGCTGATGATGCTGCTGCTGCTGCTGATGCTGATGCTGATGCTGATGCTGATGCTGATGATGATGATGATGATGATCTGATGATCTGATGATCTGATGATCTGATGATCTGATGATCTGATGATCTGATGATCTGATGATCTGATGAGCTGATGAGCTGATGATCTGATGATCTGATGATCTGATGATCTGATGATCTGATGATCTGATGATCATGATGATGATGATGATGATGATGATGATGATGATGATGATGATGATGATGATGATGATGATGATGATGATGATGATGATGATGATGATGGTGACGACGAGGACGAGGACGATGACGAGGACGTCCTCGTCATCGTCATCGCCAGCGCCATCGTTTCCAGCAGGACCCGCCTCCCCAGTGCTGAGCAGGCGATTGACCGCCGCGGGAGCGCCCGGCCTGCGCCCGCGCGGCGCAGCCCTCCGGCCTCCCGGCGAGGGGTCTGGCGCCACCAACTGCCCGCCGAGCCGATCGACTGCCTGTAAGGCCCAGACCCCCTCGAGTCATGCAAAAATCGCGACGGAGTCGCTATTTCTGGCTTCTGGGGGCCCTCACCGGGCCTCGGGACCGTCCAAAAACGACTGGGGATGAAAAACCGGTCCCGGGGAATGGGTCCGGACCTCTGGGGGTCGCGTCGGGAACGAATCGTGACGTCGGGGGTCCGGGGAGTGGCCTTTCGCAGGAGTGACCTTCACTGCGGGCCCACACTCACCATCCACTGGGGCTCGTTCCGGTTTCTCCGATTCGAGTCGATTTCGACCTCGGTGGCTTCCGATTCCGATTCGATTCAACTTGGGATCCCGATCTTGGCTCCGATTTCTCACTGGAGGCATGCTGGCCTGCCGATGTCCGCCGATTCGACCTCTCCCGACTCGGCTGTCGATTTCCGCCGATCCGATTCATGTCGGTCGCCGATCCGATTTATCGGTTCGATTCTAGGCTCATCTACCACCCACCAAACCACCCCAACCCAACCCGAAGGCCCCAATTTGCCCTCCATTCCCAGTGGGGGGGCGTCGGGGAATAGTGAAGAAGCACATGTGGAACCCGTAATTACCCCCCCTCCCTACCCGAAAGTCGGGTCTTCGGGTTGGATTGGGATGATCTGGTACACATTGTTCATTTCTAATTCTTCGAAAGTCCTTTGATTTTTGAGGGGCCAAGATCCTTTCATTTCTACTTGTTCTATCCTGGGCCTCTTCCAGGCCACCAGGGGGCCAGGAATCAGTAGAAATGAGCACAATTAGAAATGAGCACAATTAGAAATGAACGACGTGTAGGTCGTCGCACAAGTACCCCTGGATCGCTAAAGGAGATGCGATAGCAGCGGCTTGCGTGCTTGGTTTTGGGCCCCTCGCGCCCCTCCTGAGGCAGCGCACCCACGGTCACTCCTGCCGAGGGCCGCTCGTGCGTGTGGCCGAGCTATGGAAAGCGGAATGATTTCTGGCCTCTGGGGGCCCTCACCGGGCCTCGGGACCGTCAAGAAACGGCTGAGGATGAGAAACTGGTCCGGGGTAACGGGTCCGGACCCCTGCTCCGGCGGTCTGACCTCCTCGGGCTCAGAAGTGGTCGGGCGGCGCCAGCTATACACATCCGCTGCCCCCTGGCCAGGCCCTTCCTGGGCCCAGGAGCTGCGTATGCGCCCTCCCGGCGAGGCCGGGAGGGCGTGGCGCACACCACCGCTTGCTGTGCTCAGGAGGGGTCTGGCCAGGGAGCAGTGGATACACGTGTGCAGATCTCGCCGCCCTGAGGAAGTGGGTGACACATGCCCCCAGGGAGCGACGCAAAAAAAACGGGGTCGTCCGCGCCGACCTCGGCGCGGTAGGCTTCCCGCGCGAGCTCTCGCGCGTACTCGCGCCCTCGTCTCCGGTGGTGGCGTGCAGCGCTGGCGGCCCGCGCTGGCGGCCCGCGCTGGCGGCCCGCGCTGGCCGCCGCGGAAGGTTGCTGATTACGCCCTCTAGTGCAAGACCCGTTTTTGAGCGTCGACATCTCCATTCCAGGAGGGCCAACACAGAGCACCAGGACCTCGACATCTCCAGTCCTGTGGAGGCTTCCAGGCAGTCCAGCTAGGTCCTACAGGTCTGGAGGGCTCTCTTTTAGCACTCGGCAGGGTCCGGGCGACCTCGGGTGGGGGGGGGGGGGAAGCTCCAGGTCCGCCCGCGAAGGGTCCGGGAGCTGCTGGGCGGCGTGTCGCTCCGGCGGTCCTGGTCCACCGCGCGCCCGGGCGCGACGCGCGCTGTCCACTCGCCCAGTCCCCGAGCGGCAGCGCCTGGCCTCGCCGAGAGCCCCTCGAGGCACCTCCCCGCCCCGCGGAGCGGAGCGGCACGCCGTGCGACTGCAGGAGGTGCAGGGGGAACCCATGCCGAGAGACGCCCTGCTTGCCTCCAGGGTGCCCTGGGTTTCTTGGGTGTCGATGGTTTTGCGACGGAGCGCGCGGCGTTCCCACACCACAAATCAATGAACGTCCTGGGGTCTCAGGGATGGGTTTCTTGCGGAAGGCTTCTTGGGGTCGAGCCCCTACTGTATCTGCTTGCAGGAGATAGCGTGCCGCCTGGGCATCTAGCTCAGAAGTAGGTGGCACGAGCACTGAGGCTAAGGTTAATGGGGGCAACTCGAAGAGGAGCTAACAACGTAAACATACATTTTCGGAGCTCTGCGCGGATTTCGTTGATCTAGCGCCGAGCCTCCTTGGCTGGGTCCAGCGCCGATCCGAGAAATCCGCGCGGACCTCTGCAAAAGAGCTGGGCTAAGTGGTCTCCGCCCACTTGGCCGAGTTGTCTGACTCCCCTAAGCCACTTGGGGCACTTGCAGCTTACGCATCATCTAGGTCAAGCCAGGCACAACCCACCTGCGCACTCACTGATAGCCCCCTGTCCACTTAGCACCCCCCGCGGTGATCCAAGTATCGGCGGCGAGCCCGGGGGGGAAGGGAGAAGGTGCGGGCCTTCTCAGAAGGCTCGGAAGCCCCCTGGCCTTCTGAGAAGTCTTCTAGGCCTTGCCCGAAGACGCGGAAAGCCTTTCAGAAGGCCGTAGCGCTTCTGAGAAGCCCCGCCGCCTTCTGAAGAAGGCCTTCTCCTTCTCACTTCCCCCCCTCGCTCGCCGCCGAGATCTAGGCCTCCTAGATGGGTCCGGGTAGATGTGGTCGGAGGATCGCGCCGCATCGCCGATGCATCGACGATGCGGCTCGATGTGGAGACCGTGTTTCCCAACGCCGACGTCGCCGATGCATCGCCGACGTCGCCGATGCATCGCCGATGCATCGCCACTACATCGGCGATGCAGTGGCGATGCGGCGCGATCCTTCGACTCTATCTACTCGGACTTAATGGGCCCCAGAAACGGCAGGGCCGTTTTTGTTTCGCCGTTTCCGAAAAAGTGTCTCTTGAAAATGGAAGCGGCAAAAAAACGGCGGCTGGACACGGCAAAAAAGGCTCAGGAGCCCGAGCCGGCAACAAAAACGGCGACGGAACCGGTAAACAAAGGCATCGGGACCAGCAGCAAAAACCGCAAAACGGAACCGGTGACAAAAACGGCCGTGTCGTTCTCAGGGCCCACGGGCCCCATCTAGGAAGCCCAGACCCCATCTATTCGGACCCCATCTACCCAGACCCCCGACGTCATGATTGTTTCATGACGCGGCCCCCAGAGGTCCGGACGCGTTCGCCGGGACTGGTTGCTCATCCCGCGTCGTTCTTTGACGGTCCCCAGGCCCGGCGAGGGCCCCCAGAAGCCGAGCGTGGCGGAACACTGCCCGTCGTGATTCTCTCGAGACTTCGAGGGGGTCTGGGCACGCGGATCCTTCGACCCCACCTGGGGCGGCCGGCCTCCCGGCTAGCATCTGCTCTGGCGGCCCCCGGCGGCCACGCGGCGGCCCGGTGCTGCGAGAGCCCCGGCCCCAGCGGTGGCCTCGGGGGGGCGGCCGCTCGTGCCCGCCAGGCGCGCGCATCTTCAAGGGGCTGGAGCTGCACGAGCGCCGCCGCCACGCCACGCCCGCGGCGACAGGGTGCGTCCGAAGAGGGCAACCCAAAGCCCCCTCGGGTCATGAAAAAATCACGACGAGCGGTTTTCCCCTATTTTCGGCCTCTGGGGGCCCTTACCGGCCCTCAGGGCCGTCAAAAAAAAGACTCAGAACGAAAAACCGGTCCCGGGGAATGGGTCTGAACCTGGGTCGCGTCATGAAGAAATCATGACGTCGGGGGTCTGGGAAGGTACCCATACCCTGACCTTCCAGGAGGGCTAAAAAGCAGCACCAGGACCTCGACATCTTCATTCCCGTCGAGGTTTCGGGCAGTCCAGATAGGTCTAGAGGTCTGGAGGGCTATTTTTGTTAGCACTCTGGAAGGTCAGGATACCTCGACCCTTCTCTCGTTTTCCCCTCTGAGGGCGTTCTGGGCGGCCCTCGTCGTCACCGCCGCATTCGCCTCGAAGTCCTGGTCCGAGCGCGCCCTGGGAGAGGTTCCGGGGAGCAGCGGCATCGGCACCTCTTGGGCTCCCCGGTGTGTGCGCGCGGTCTCTGCCCCCGCAGCTGCGACGCAGAAGCAAGAGCAACATGCAGTCGAGGCGCTGTGACGAAGGAGATCCACGCCGCTGCCCCTCCCTCGCCGTCGTGGCTGGATTCGCCTCGGGATCCTCGCCGTGCAGCATTCCTCGGAGAAGACAAAGCATCATAAGCATCAATTTTTGGCGCTTCGCGCGCATTGCGCGCATTGCTCAGATCCGCGCTGGGCCCCCCCGGCGGCGCCTCCGGCGCCGCCCCTGGCGCGCTCCGTGCGCCAGGGAGGGGGGTCCAGCGCGGATCCACGAAATCCGCGCGGAGCGCCAAAAGTTTCTGTTGATGCAGTTATTGTTTCTTCTCCTTCTTCTTCTTCTTCTTCTTCTTCTTCTTCTCAATCAGCAGCGCCAGGTCCGGCCCTGCCCAATCATGGTGGCGGTGCACAGCGGGCACGTGAAATCAGAAGCCGGCCCGTCATCAGGTGCCGCAGAACAGGTTTTTGAGCCCAGTGTTGCCCTGGGACTCGCTCGAGTTCTGGGGCACCTCACAGAGCCTGATGCGACGAAGAGAGTGACCCAAGATGTCTTTGAGTACGACTTGTCGTCCTCTGTATCAAATACAGGTGGCTCCTGTTTCTCTCGGGCGTCTCTCCACTTCCCGACTGATCGCGGTCGAGATTTGGAGCCAACCCGCCGATTCCAGCGAGTACTGCCGGGGGTACCACTCGCCGAGCGCGTTCCACTACTCGCAAAGTGCCTACTTGCAAACGTCCGAACAGCCCACGTTCGCCTCGGTGTAATACATCGTAAATCCCCCACGGTGGATCCAGGCTATTTGCGAGTAGTGACTTTGCGAGTAGCGGAACGCGCTTGTCTAACCAAGCTGTGCAACACATCCTGCGTTTCTAATCCGTCCAGGCGGTCCTGACTTTCGTGGGCGTCCGCTCTTTCATTTTCTGACAGTGCTGCTTCTAGCCGCCTTTCGGCAGCCGTCCTGTAGCCAGGAGCATTCGTAGATGGGGAATGCTAGAGACGAGTTGGTCCAGAAACGAGCGGCTTGCGTCCAAGGAGGAGCAGGAGTAGGAGGGACGGAGGAAGGGACGCGGGAGGAGAAGGGCCCACTTAGTCGTTGTCTCCCTCTCTGTTTCCCCCTCTGCTTCCCTCCGGCCGCCGCTGAGACTGCTACTGCTGCCCACAGGGAGCGAAGCCCGCCGCCCTCCCCGCCTTGGGTGTCGCCCCTTTCAGGGCCGAGGTGGCTGGGGGGGGGTCCTCTCCTCCCCTCCTCGCTCCCACGCGCGCTGTGCTCCGCAAGACGTCCAAACGCGTCCCTCTCGCCGCTTCCTCCGCCTCCCCCAAGGCATCGGCCCGTCTCGCCCAAGGCATCGGCTGCGCGCGTAAGAGTGACCCCTCGCCGGAGAGGGAGCAGGGAGGAAGAGGAGGAGGGAGGGTGGCAGATGATGGGCGCGAGGGAGGAAGAGGACGAGGAAGGGGAAGAGGGATGAGGAGGAGGAGGAGAAGGAGGAGGAGGAGGAGGAGGAGGAAGAGGGAGGAAGAGGAACAGGGCGGAGGAGGAGGAGGAGGAGGAGCAGGAGGAGGAGGAGGAGGAGGAGGGAGGAGGAGGAGGAGGAGGAGGAGCGGGGGGAGGAGGAGGAGGAGGAGGGAGGAGGAGGGAGAGGAGGAGGAGGAGGAGGAGGAGGCGGAGGAGGAGGAGAGGAGGAGGAGGAGGAGGAGGAGGAGGAGGGAGGAGGGAGGAGGGAAGAGGAGGAGGAGGAGGAGGAAGGAGGAGGAGGAGCGTCCGGGGGGCGCGGGGCAGAGCCGAGCACGCAGGCCACTGCTGGCGCCTCGCATGCAACAGTCGGCGAGCCGGGTGCCTCACAGGCCGCTCCCGTCGGGGCCCGCTCCTGCGTGCAGCCGGGGTCGATCATTCGAGTAGGGGGTCGACCACAGATTTGGTTTACCCCAAGAATGATTTCCCGTTGAACTTGCGAGAAATGCGTAGAGTACTCCGTAGACCTAAGGAGCATTCTACGCATTGGTTCGCAGACGTGACGGAGAAGTCAATGTCGGGGTGTACCAATTCTGTAGTCGATCCCCTGTTCGGATCATGCAGCAAGCTAAGACGGCTTCACCCTGTGCTTGCCGGTCGCATCGCCAGCGCTGCCAGGACGAGGGGCTGTTCGAGCCCGTCGACAGCAGCAGGCGTGCCCATGCCCGCCGGCCTCTCCTTCTCGTCGTCGTCGTGGCCTTCCTCGTGGGCGCATCGCGCATCCGCGCAGCGCCTGCAGCCTGTGCCGTGCTTACCCGCAGTGGACGCCTCGCCAGCTGGTGGGCTCTGGCGAAGCACAGCTACTCGTTGCAGCTCTCGCAGTTTTCGACACCGTCTCCCTTTCCCTCGCCCGCTCCTCCTGCTGCCAACGCTGTGCGCTTGACCTCCTGCTACTTCTGCTCCTCAATCGTTCCCATGTCTGTCTCGCGTCTCCCTCTCTCTATACACATATCTGTATACGCACATATCTGCACATGTGTGTATGTGCCCCTTTTCCCAGTATGGGATGTTTTGCTGGCGCTTCGCACCATTATCTTCGGTAATGCACGTATCGTTAAGTCGGGCATGTCCTCCTACAGGAGGAATATTCAAAATGAAGTCAGCAAATAACCTGAGGACGACTGTTCGATTATGTTTGGAGTATTTTCTGTACATTTTTAAAATTATTCTCCCAAGCCCGCCTGTATGAGGACATGCCCGACCTAAATGTATCGGTGTAACTATGCATGCTGCTCAATGTAGCCAGGTACATGTTTCTGATGATATCCTTGGTCCTTGACTCTCGGCCCGCTGACGCTGGTGCGAGCGCAACCGGCTGGCATGCAGCATCCGGGCCAACGCCCTCGACAGCGCCCGGGGCAGTGCCCAGGCAGGGCATCTTGCCGCCAGGTCGTGTGTTTGAGAGATGCCGCTGGACCGCCGAGTCGGGCGTGCGCTCTCTTTTGCCTGATGTTCGGCGGCGGGCGAGGGGGGGACGTGAGAAGGAGAAGACCTTCTCAGACGGCGGCGGGACTTCTCAGACGCAATCGCGCCTTCCTGCGAATTTGCTTTTTGTCTTCGAGGAAGGCTTAGAAAACTTCTCGGAAGGCGGGTGGACTTCCAAACCTTCTGAGAAGGCCTTCTCCATCTCATTTCCCCCCCCTCGCTCGCCGACGGTAAGTGCCATGCGTAGAGCACCATCCTGAGGCAGATGTGTGTGTGTGTGTGTGTGTCTGTGTCTGTGTGGGATTCTCCCCTCCTTGTCCTTCGCCCGCCGCGCTCCATCCCCCGCCGCAGCCACCCCCTCCCCCTTCCCATCATCGCCCGCCGCCACGCCGAGAGGAAGCTGACGGCGATCTTCTGGAAGGGCCGCTTCAAGCGGTTCCAGGACGTCCTCGCGACGTTCATGGAGCCCTTCTGTGGGGGGGGCCCTCTCCTCCTCCTCCTCCTCCCTCCTCCTGGAGGCGGGGGCAGGAGGCCACCGCTTCACCCCCCAAGTCCAGGTCTGCGCTCTCCATCGCCGTCCCTCTCCACCCCCCTCCCAGGCGGGTCCCCGGGGTGGCGAGGGGGTGAGGGGGGACCAGGGTGGGCCGACTTGTGGATGCAGCGGTCGGGGGGCCTCGGAGGGGGCATGCAGTGAAGCGCTCTCTCTCTCTCTCTCTTCCTCTCAGCCTCTCCGTTGCCTGCTCTGCATCGGCATGCCCCCCCACATTGTTTGTTTTTGCGCGTGCTGTCTCTCTATCTCACCCCTCTCTCTCTCTCTCGCTCTCTCGCTCTCTCGCTCTCTCGCTCTCTCTCTCTCTCTCTCTCTTTCCTCCTTCTCTCTGCCGTTTTTTTCTTTGTTTTGTTGTATGTTTCCTCTTTCTCTTTCTTTTTTTTCTGTCTCTCGCTCTCTCTCTCTCTCTCTCTGCACACACACACACTTTCATTGCAAAGGCCTTGCGGCTGGTTCCGCCGACCCCGAGGAGCGACCAGTTTGGGCGCAAGATGCAGAAACGGGGGACTGAGGGCAAGGTCAGTGGCGGCCTTCATGCGAGGGCAAAATTCGAATGGTCCTCGGCCCATCCCCTCATCGCGCATGTGTCAAGCCTCAGAGGCCTTGGGGACTTGGTGGGGGAACCTTTGGGGGCTTTTTGGGGTGCTCCTGGGGGCCTTTGTGGCCCACTTCGGTACGTCTTGGGGCCTCCTGGGGCCTCTTTTGGGGCTCTGGGGGGTCTTGGATCATGTTGGAGGGGGTGGCGTCCAGCGGTGCGACAGTGGCGTGCTTTTGGTGGCCCTTCTTGGGGCCGTCTTTGGGGCTTACTGGGTTCTCGGGGGTCTCTTGGGCTGGTCTTGGAGGGTTCTTGGGCCGTCTTGGACGCTCTTGCGACCGATGCGGCGAGACAGTCAGATCACACCTGAACGTAAATGAGGGATTGAACCGGTCTGGGCCTCTTGCGCCATCCCTCGGGACCTCAAAGACGGCCCACTTCCAAGAGTGCCGAGGCTGATTCTGAGAGGGCCCTCGCGGGCCTGGGTGACCCAACGATAGCGAAAGTGGCCCAAGAGTGGAGGTGCATCATCACCGCGGGCAGGGGCTGAGGTCGAACATGTGGCGCTGACGGGGCGACGCAGGTAGAGCGTGGGCGTCGTAGGCGCGAAGGAGGAAGGATGATAACACGCCATCTCACTTGTTCTAAATGTTGTTCTAAACGCGTGGGACCCGGTTTTCCTTTCATGTGTTCTAACTTTTTCGTCGATGGTTGTCGAAAAGGCTTTCGGGGGGGTTGACGTCTCTCGGGGGCTCTCGGAGGCATGGTCCCCAGAATCTCTCAGAGGATCCCAAGGAGGTCCCCGGAGGACGAGGCTCCTCTGTCTGCTGTTGCGTCAGCACGTCTTTTTCGATATCACCGTGCGCTTTTCTTCGATGGACCTCCTTCGGGAAGGAAAAACACACAGACACAATGAATCGTCGATTCCCCAGAAAATATTGGAAAGTATGGAAATGGAAAGTGGGGGGGAAGGCAAACACCCAGAAAATGTAGGGAATTGTAGGGAATCCTGTTCTTTGTGTCTATTTACTTGTGTGTCCCGGGGCCCATTCGCTCCTGGGGCACCAGAGGCCGTCAGACACGGGCCCCGGTGGACGTCGCCCAGGGAAGCACGCCGTCCCCGGGGAGTCGGGGCGGAGCGGGCGGACGGACGATGTCTTCGGCCTCCCAGCGCCGCCGCGCTGCTCGGGGCGAAGACGCTCCTTCCCTGGAGGATCTACAGGGAGGAGGATCCACAGGAGGATCCATAGGGGGGGAAGAGGAGGAGGAGGAAGAGGAGGAGGAGGAGGAGGAGGAGGAGGAGGAGGAGAAAGAGGAGGAGGAGGAGGAGGTGGAGGAGGAGAAGAGGGAGGATCCATGAGAAAGAGGATCCACAGGGAGGAGGATCCACAAGAGGATCCATGGGGTGGAGGATCCACAGGGAGAGCGGGGTGGGGGCGGACGGGGAAGCGGGGGCGCGGGCGAAAGCAAAAAGGAACGGAAACGGGCGCGGGGGGAGGAGGGGGGGGGATGGCAGGGGACGAATCGCCATAGAACTACGAACACCAGGGGACTTACCAGCCATTGCGAGGCTCTGGGCTCCGGAGCCAATGAGCCGATTGATCCGTCCTCATGCGCGACCTCCTCTTGCGAACATCTCGTCCAAAAAAATTGCGTCGAACAAGTTCCTTGTGTTTTCACGGGTATGCGTCAGCCGGCGAGAAAAAACAAAATATGATTCAGGGTGTTTGTTCCGCGGGTCACGAGAAACACAAAGGGGGCCACCGCGCCCCCTCCGACAAAAATCCGACGGGGCTAGAGAAACGCCCAGGAAGTTCTTCGACGGGCTCCAGCGGTTTCCCGACGGGCCACGGATCACACGGGGCACGGGGCACGACAGTTCGAGCAGGCCGTGGGCCCGAGCCATGCTTTGTGCGCGGTAGAGCCCGTGTAGGCCCCCGCGCGCCTCAATTCCCGAAGTGCTTCCCGAGGCCGCCGTGGAAGCCTCCTCCTCCCCCTCGCCTTCCCCGTCCTCCCCCTCCCCGTCGTCCTCCCTTTTCCTCTCCCTTTCCTGCCTCTCCCCCTGCCCCTCTTCCTCCTCCCCCTCCCCGCCTCTCTCTTTCTGTCTGTTTGTCTTCTTGTCCTCCGATGTCTCCTCGCTTCCTTGCTGCAGGGCGCGCCCTGGGAATGGTCCTCCTTCCTCCGCCGCGCCCGCGGCGCCCGCGTCGCGAAACATTTTCGTGCCACGCGGCCGTCGGCGCACGGAGATCTTGCAGTGGCCAGGTCGGCGCTCCAGCTCCTCGGGGCGCACAGGCGGGCGGCGATGGACGCACCAAGGCACGCTCAGGAGGGAAAGCGACAGCCAGACAACATATAATCTTTCAGGAGGGGAAAGCACACACAGACACAACTCATCGTCGATGCCCAGGAAAGTATGGGAAAGTATGGGAAATGGGGGGAGACACACCCCCAGAGCATATGGGAACATATGGGGGATCCTGTTATTTGTGTGTCCCAGGGCCCCTTCAATCTTGCGTTCCCCCCCCAGGGCGGGTGCGTGTGGTGAGTCTGGGGGGTCGCTCGCAGGTTGGCGCAGCGTTTCGAGCATTCCGTTGGCTCCCTACAGCGGGGTTCGTGGTGTTCTGGGCAGGAAGTTGCCGAGGGTGACGCGGGCGGTGTCCTCATCGTTCTCAGCGCCCTTCCCTGTGAGATTGCTAATGGGATCGATCTCTAAATCCATTGGTGCGAAGACTGGCCGCGAGGCCGATATTGGGATCGATCGAGTGAGAGCAGGGACGATAGTGACATTACATCGCAGCACAACATCGTCATCACGCGTCGTTGCTAACTCGAAGGTGCGTCACCAGTGTCGCATCACACCCATCGCATTTGCCAGCAGTTAGTTCTTCCCCCCCTCAACCTCATTATCACCCGTGCAGGTAGGTGGCATTACTACTCATCCTTTCCCCCTTGTATTTGTTTGTTTGCTTTATATCCCTCTCTCTCTGTGTGTTTCTTTGTTCTTCTCTATCTCTCTCTCTCTCTCTCCCCCCTTTCTCTTTCTCAGTCTGTTGTGTTTTGTGGTTATTCTCTCTCTCTCTCTTGTATCAGGATTTGTTGGTGTCATGTGTTTTCTCCCCCCCTCTCTCTCTTTATGTACATCTCTCTGTCCCCCCTTCGTTTCTCTCTCTCTCTCTCTTTGTTTATTGTCCTTATTTTTTGTGTATATATATGTATGTCTTTCTCTCTCTCTCTCTTGTTGTTCCTCTCTCTCTGTCCCTCTCTCTCTCTTCTCTCGTTATGTTTCTCTCTCCGTCTTTTTCTTTTTCTCTGTTTCTCTTTGAGTATAGATATATCCCTTTCAATCGCTTGCTTGCACAGTTGCTTTGATCGCGGGTGCTCCTCGGGCTCCGCCGTCCGTTTGCCGATTCACCGTGGGGTCTGTTGTCGCGCCAGCGTGCTCACTGGCGGCCAGGCCCTGGCCGCCTGATCGACCTTGCGCGGGTTGCAGCCCGTCGGACCAGCTGTGGGATGTTCGCATCGCGTCCACGCGGCGACCACCCAGGCGTGGGCGTTCAAGGCTGAACGTCGCCAGTGGCCTGGAATCGGCCGACCCCAGGTGGTCAGCGCTGTCGGAAGGCCGCGCTCGTTCAAAGCCGATCGATCCACGCGGTGTCAGACATCGCCGCGCAGCCCGTCACGAGACCAACCTGCTGTGCTCAACAGTCAGTGTGGCCAGCGATCCTGCTAGCGTTGGGGACGGGATGCCGCGCTGGGGTGCTGGGCCGGAGCAGGTGGGCGCGAGATCAGAGAGGTCGAGCAGGCTGACGAGGTCGTTCCGCGCCACCTTCCATTCTGGGTGGAGGGGGGCTGCAGGATAGTGCAGGCAAAGGAATGAACCATGGAGGAGAGAACGCAGGGAAGAGAGGAGGACGGGGGTGTGGAGGGAGGAGGAGATGGGCGGAATGGAGGAGGAGGACGAGGAAAAGGAGGAGGAGGAGGAGGAGGAGAATGAGGGAGACGAGGAGGATGAGGAGGAGGAGGAGGAAGATGGCCAGTGTGAACCCAAGACCCATCAACGATATTGGAATAATCCCTTCTCCAGGCTCTCTTTTTCGTAGCTCCCTACTATAAGGGTTCATGTCCACTGAAGGAAGTACCCCGTCGGGAGACGACCGTATGAAGATCCTGAAACGTGCCAAGACACCATTCTCGAGACTCCAACGTCACGAATCAACCTGAGTGCTGCGTTCTGGCGATCCAGAATCGTGCCACAACACCGTTGTTGGGATTTCACCACCGCTAACCAACGCAACTGTTGCGCCATGACAATCTCAAATCTTCCAAAACCATTTGTGGTACGTTTGCCGTGGGACCCAGTGGAACGCATATATTTGTTTAACGAATGCTCGTGGCGCTACAGCGGGAGCACATGCTGAAAACGACCCGCCCTCAATCCGAGAAGCTCTTGGAACGATGGTGTACGCATGCGCGCGGCGCGAAGGCGAGAGCTACATCAAAAAACGAGATGCCTTCAATTCATGAATATTCGTTTTTGGTAAGACGAGTGCGCGCGGCGTTAAGGCGAGGACCATGTTGTGAAAATGGCCCGCCTTCAAACTTGAAGTTCTGGCTTTTGTTCTGTAAGACGAGTGCGCGCGGCGCTAGGGCGCGAACCATATTTTGAAAACGACTCGCCCTCAATCCGTGAAGCTGTTTCAATTCTAGACGCTTCGCGTATCCCCACCAGGTCTTTGCATGGTAATCTTCTGGCTTTGCGCCCCATTGCCTCATTCCGCCCTCTGGACTTTTCCTTGCGGGCCGCAAATCAAAAAGTATCCCCACCAGCCCGTCCAGAAATGAGCCCCAGGGGAGTGGAGGTGATGAGGGAAGCGGGGGAGCATGCAGAAGAACAAAGGGCGGGTAAGCCGCCATATGCCCCAAGAGGGGGAGGATGTAGGAGGAGTCGTCGGCGTCGGAGTAGGAGGAGGAAGAGGAGGAGCAGGAGGAGGAGGGGGAGGAGAGGAGATGGAGGAGGGCGAGGAAGCGGAGGACGAGGAGGAGAAGGAGAAGGAGAAGGAGAAGGAGAAGGAGAAGGAGAAGGAGAAGGAGAAGGAGGAGGAGGAGGAGGAGGAGAGGAGGAGGAGGAGGAGGAGGAGGAGGAGGGAGGAGGAGGAGGAGGAGGAGGAGAGGAGGGGGGGAGGAGGGAGAGGAAGAAACAGAGGAGGAAGAGGAGGAGGAGGAGGAGGCGGAGGAGGAGGAGGAGGAGGAGGAGGACACTGGCGAGCTTGGGCCCCTTGGGGATCTCTTGGGAGTCTCTTGGAGGCCTCTTGGGCGCCTCTTGGGGCGTCTTGGGGGTCTCTTGGGGCGCTCTTGGGGCGCTCTTGGGAGCCTTCGGGCCTCTTTTGGGGCCATCTTGGACGAGATCAATCTAAGAAGGGGGGGGTCGTCAATTGGCCCTGCCCCTCTAGAGTGCCTCGAATCGCCTCTTGGGCCCCCCAAGAGGCCAACATCCTTCCAACACCTAGGGAAAATCAATGTTTTGTGCTTTCTCGCCTTTTCGCTCTTGGAGCCGTCTTGGGCCATCTTGGACGCCCCAGCGACTCGCGGAACCCTCCGTCCAGGTCCAGGGGAGGGGTAGGGGGAGGGGTAAACCCCTCCCCGAAGGGGAAGAAGGGGGTTGGAAGAGGAAACTCTCTAGACCACCGACGCCCAGAGGGCTGGTGGGATTTGTTACGACGAATGCGCGCGGCATTGAAGCGAGAGCTACATTTTGGAAACGACCCGCCCTCAATGCGTTCAATGATTGCACATGGTTAAGACGAATGTGCGCGGCATTGAAGCGAGAGCTACACTTTGAAGACGACCCCCTTTCAATATTTGAAACTCTTGCGTTTTTTAAGGCGAGTGTGCGCGGCACTAAGGCGAGATCCACGTTTTGAAAACCACCCGCCCTCTATGTTTGAATTTGTTGGGCCAGTTATGAAGTTGCAGGATCATACTCAGGCGAAGTGCCCGGCCCGCCCTTCCGACTGGCCTCGGAGTGCGAGAGGGAGATGCTACCTATAAGGAAAATAATATGACGATGATGTTGATGTTGATGCTGATGCTGATGATGGTACTGATGCTGATGCGGATGATGATGCTGATGATGATGATGATGCTGCTGCTGATGATGATGAACATGATACTGATAATGCTGCTGATGAGGATAACGATGCTGCTGCTGCTGATGATGATGATGATGATGATGATGATGATGATGATGATGATGCTGATGATGATGATGATGGTGATGGAGATGGTGATGGTGACGGTGATGGTGATGGTGATGATGATGATGATGATGATGAGGAGGAGGAGGAGGAGGAGGAGAAGGATGCGAGGTTCGATACTTGAAGTCCGGTCAACGTTTAGAGGAGGAGGAGGACGAGGAAGAAGAGGAGGAGCGGCAGGAGGAGGACGAGGGAGAGAGGGATGGATGGATGGATGGAGGGAGCGAGGGAGCGAGGGAGGGAGGGAGGGAGGAGGCGGAGGAGGAGGAGGATGGATAAGGGTGGAAGAGTTGGAGGGGGGAGGGAGGCGGAGGGGACGGAGACGTTTAGTTTATGTCTTTTGTTTGGGGGGGGGGGGGGGCTGGGCCTGGCGGACCCGCCGCCGCGGGACGGCGTCCGCCACCTCGCGCCAAGGGGGCGGATTGAGCGCGCTCCAGGGCACGTCTGGGGAGCCCACCGGCAACGCGTAGGAGCGACCCTTCTCCCAAGTGGCCTTTTGTGCGTGCCCTCAGTGCCCCCCCCAAGATTTCTTGCTGTTGCTGAAGCATCCTCTGGCGCGCGGCGGGCATTACCACCCCGGCCAAGGCCCCCCCCTCCCCCCCCCTCTGGCGGGCAGCGCTGGCAGCCGCGCGAAGGGGGGAGGGCCTGGATCCACCGCACATGCTGGTGCTCGCGCGCGTATTACAGTGCCGTCTTTAATACATGCTCGGCGTGCGGACCATGTATTCAAAGGCAGGGATTTGGTATTGAAAACAACGATCCTCGCGGGCGAAGAGCAGATCCGTGCCCGCGCCTGCGCGGGCCGGGCCCCCCGGGGGCGCGCGACAACCGCGGACAGGCAGCGCTCTGCCGCGGCTGCCCCCGCGCGGAACGTGCCCTTGCTGCGACCGCGCAGCCGCGGGATCGCGCCCGAGGTGCGCGTTGTCTTTGTGACTACCTACCAGACCACCCCAACCCAACCCGAAGACCCGAATTTGACCCGAATTTCGGGTTGGGGGGGGTACGGATACCATGTGTTTTTTCAACGTTCCCCGACCCCCCCCCACTGGAAATCGAGGATAAATTTGGGCCTTCGGGTTGGGTTGGGGTGGTTTGGTGGGTGGTGACTTTGGGGGCATCTGCTCCACGGGGATACCAAGGAGAGAAAGACGGACGGGGGCCCCGCCCGCCCGCTGTGCCTCACCGCGGCCGCTCCCCGCGGCAGTCGTGGCCGCGCCCCGCGCCGACGGGCGCCGCCTGGAGCCGGCTGGGGGTCGGAGGTGGTCCAGCAGGGGTTTTGGCGAGGCGGGCGCGCTGCGGGGCTCTGGGCCCGAGGGGGATGTCTGCCTGCGGCGGCCTCTCGGAGCTGTGGCCGGCCCCTGGGACCGTCAGGAGCGGATCCGGGGTGAACCACTGCGCCGGATGGACCTCGGGAGGGGTCCGGGAGCCGATTTTGAGCGGATTTGGCTTCATCCCTCCCTCCTGACCGGCCTTCTGGGGCTCTCGCGAGTTCAGACCCCATATCACGGCCGCCTCCGAGACGCCGCGCTCCGCACGGGCTCAGACCTGTTGCGTCGAACAGCTGAGTGTGGACCTAGTCGCCGTTCTCGGCCTCCCCGTCAGAGATCCGGGCGTTGCATTTTTGTTTCCCCCACCCCTGGCGTTTTTTTTGTCCCCCCTCTTTCCTTGCCCCGCGGCCATCTCGTGTCGATCTGGAGAGTGGTTTGGGATGGCGAGCTGGCTCCTGATTGGATGCCCGCGGCCCGCGGAGGGGAGGCTGAGGGGACGAGTGGGTCACAAGTAGATGCCATAGGGTGGGTTGCGTCTGGCCTGACCCGGCCTTAGAGTGGGCTCCGGGTGCCCTGAGAAATTTAGGGTGGGTTCGAGAGCTCCGCCAAGTGGGCGGAGCCCGCTGCCCCGGATCTGTAGCCCCCCAGGCCACTTGATGCGTTCGCTGCCCACTTATAATACGCTTGGTCAGGCCAGATTTAAGCCACCCCAGGATTCAGTCACGGTCAGGAATCTTGGCTTAGCGTGTCGCGCCGCCGCAGCGACACGCTATCCGCTCGCTGGGCGTAGCGTGTCGCCAGGGCCGCTGCCGCGATACGCCAAACAAAAGTTCCCGGCCGCATACCCCCCCGGGCCCCTCAGCACCGACCACCCCACGGTGATCCAATCCCGAGGGTCTCGGAGAGCCCGTGGACTGCGCGGCCAAGGGTGCTTGCTCGCTTATCATGAGCTAGGTTGGGCCAGATAGAACCCACCCTGGCATCTACCGTGGGCGCCACTATGGGGCGCAGCTGTGGAGGTCGCGGGCAGCGAGCGCGGTGTGAGACGGATGGGCGGACCACCCTCTGCCACGCAGTCCGTCTTAGTATGGCATACCCTGGCTGCGTACAGTTCATCCCGGCATCCACTCCTGATTTAAACCCTGGGTTGACCGTCCCTCGGGGTGGGGAATGCCGGCGTCCGACTTGGGACACCGCTGCCTACAGATCACGGCCACAAGAGGAGCAGAGGGAGGAGGAGGTGGAGGAGGACGATGAGGAGGAAGAGGGGAAGGAGGACGAGACGGAGGAGGAGGAGGAGGAGGAGGACGAGGTGGAGGAGCAGGAGATGGACGAGACAGAGGACAGGCGGAGCAGGAGGAGGAGGAGGAGGAGGACGACGAGGAGGAGGAGGAGGAGGACGAGGAGGAGGAGGAGGAGAAGGAGGAGGAGGAGGAGGACGAGGAGGAGGCGAAGGAGGAGGAGGAGGAGGAGGAGGAGGAGGAGGAGGAGGAGGAGGAGGAGGAGGAGGAGGAGAAGGTGGAGGAGGAGGAGGAGGAGAAGGAGGGAGGAGGAGGAGGAGGAGGAGGAGGAGGAGGAGAGGAGGAGGAGGAGGAGGAGGAGGAGAGGAGGAGAAGAAGGTGGAGGTGGAGGTGGAGGTGGAGGTGGAGGTGGAGGTGGAGGTGGAGAAGGAGGAGGAGGAGGAGGAGGAGGAGGAGGAGGAGGAGGAGGAGGAGGAGGAGGAGGAGGAGGAGTCGCGACGGAGCCACGGCCCAGGGCGCCGGGCCAGCGGGGATGCGCGCGCCGCGGGGGCCCAGGTCGCCTACGTGAAGTGCCACCTGTGCACCGACGTCCTCTGCGAGGCGCTCCTCGGCCGGGGTCTGGGGGATCTGGGGCGCCACTTGGATCACCGCGGGGGTTGCTCAGGGGATCGTGGGGCTATAAGTGGATGCCAAGGCGGCTTGCGTCAGGCCCAACTTGCAGCCCATAGGTGAGTTACGAGCGCTCCAAGTATCGCATGGTTATAAGGATCCGTGCCAAGTGGGCTCGGCCCACTTGGCGGAGTTGTGCATCCCCCCTGATCCACTTAGGGCACCTTTAACCCGCCTGTGAGCCAGGTTGGGCCAGAACTGCAGTCATCCCGCATAGTAGGGCTGGGCAACCTTCCCAGGGGTACCCTGGCATCCTTGCCTCCTCGACCCGTCCTCGGCCGCCCCCGTTCGCCGCGCCCCGCTCGAAGCGCCCCGAAATCGGCGTCCAGGGCCCTTGCACCCTCATCGCGCGTCCTTAGGAGGCGCGCCGACTGCAACCCGTCTCAGCCCCCAGCCGCTGCCCCGTATCCTCACAGCGGCCCCCGCGGTGCTCCGCGCAGGCCCCCGACGCACGGGGCAGCACGGACTCGAGCCGAGGGGCGCTGTGGCCTCTCTCGGCCTCCGCGGGGGGGGCCCCTCGCGTCGGGCCCCCCTCCCGTGGCGCCGTCGGGACAGGCGCCGCTCGGGCGGAGACAGGGCAAAGCTGGCCCCCAGGGAACGGCGTGGGCCTCCCTACGATCGTGTTCCTACCCACTGTTTTGCCGATCGGCGCGGGCCCTCGTGCCCCCCTCCCCCCTCCTCCCCCGTGGAGGAGACCGTGGCTGTTCACGGCGCCGGTTCCGAGCAGGGGGAGCCGCCCCCATGGGACGCACGGTTGCAAACAGTCGCATGAAGCAGAGGTCTGGGGCCAGACCCCCCCCCCCTTCCCTCCCCTCGCCCAATGTCGAAACGCCGAAAAAGAAAACGTGCACGTCCACGTCGCGAAGCCAGCACGGCGTCAGAGACCTGTCCAGGCCTCCTGGATGGGGTCGGAGCAGATGGGGTCGGAGGATCGCGCCGAATCGCCGATGCACCGCCGATGCGGCTCGATGTGGAGCTCGATTGTCTCCACGCCGCCGTCGCTGATGCATCGGCGATGTGACCGTTGCATCGCGGATGCATCGCCAATGTATCGCCGACGCATCGCCGATGCGGCGCGATCTTCTGACCCCATTTACTCCGACCCCATCTATAGGAGGCCTCCAACCTGGGTCGGAGGATGTGGCCAGAGGACGGGGCCGAGGAGGATGGGGTCGACCCTTGAGAGAGAGAAAGAGAGAGAGAGAGAGAGAGAAACCGTGCACGTCAAAGGTGCATTGGCAAAGCGGTGAAACAAGAACCACTGCTGGTGGCGCAGCTATGAAGCAGTGAGGCGCCATGCAAAACATTATACCAGGTCATGGCATGGAATGGCGAAAGCATAACACTCAGGCTTTTACAATTCACCCTTACAACTCGGGCAACCCTCGAAGGAGAGAACATCCTCAAAGACACATAATCTCGCAGAAGAAAACGGCCACTAAACTTTTGGCGCTCCGTGCGGATCTCTTGGATCCGCGCTGGGCACCCCCGGCGGCGCCTCTGGCGCCGCCCCTGGCGTGCTCCGCGCGCCAGGGAGGGGGGTCCAGCGCAGATTCAAGAAATCCGCGCGGAGGGCCACAAGTTTATGGCGTTTTCTCTTACTCTAGAAGCTTTCGGAGGCCCGGGCAGTTTTCCAGGATCGGTGCTGGACCCCCCTTGGCGGCACCTCCAGGGTCGCTCCTGGCGCTCCGCGCGCCGGGAGGCGAGGTCTCCGGCGCCGATCTAGGGAACCCGCGTGGACCCCCAAAAATCTACTCGAATGCTGATTGTTCTTCGTCTGGGAACGCCCATGCCTTTCGAATCTTTCGAGGAACAACTTCATACACATACACTTGTGGCGCTCCGCGCGGATCTCTTGGATCTACGCTGGCCCCCCCCCGGCGGCGCCTCCGCCGCCGCCCCTGGCGCGCTCCGCGCGCAAGGGAGGGGGGGGGTCCAGCGCGGATCCGCGGAATGCGCACGGAGTGCCAAAAGTTTCTGTTCATGCAGTTTTTTTTTCTTCTTCTTCTTCTTCTTCTTCTCCTTCTTCTCCTTCTCCTTCTTCTTCTTCTTCTAATCGTGGCCCAGGCTGGCGGCGGTCTGCGCGAGCATGACTGCGCCGCTGCGTCCTGGAGCACCGGTCTGCCGGGGCAGGGTGGGCGGGGAGGGCGCGCGCGAGCTGGGCCCGTCGCTCGTGGGGCGCTCTCGGAGCTGCCCCCCGCGCGCCGCCTGGCGCGAGAGAGGCGGCTGCCTTGGCCGAGGCCGCCGCCGAGGCAGCCGAGCGGGCCGCTCCGAGCTCCGTCGGGCGCGCCCCTCCTGCAGGGGGGCAGCTTCCAGAGCAGTCCAGACACGGTCTGGGGGCGATGCTCCACTCACCTTCTTTTGGCCATTCGTGGACACTTCTCGACTGCTCTTCTTCATTTTTCCTCCAAGGTCCCCGCCTGGAAGGGGACGTGCCCGACCTGAGCTCCGATGCCGGGCGAAGAACCGTGACCGCGGTGTCCTGCGCGCCACCGGGCAGCAGCGCACGAGCAGGGTCGGCGACCCGCCCAGTCCGCCTGCCCTGCGCGTGCCCTTGCGTCCCGCGTGCTGGCCTCGTCGGCGCCCCTGGATGCACCGACGCCGCGGCCCGGCCGCTGCCACGGTCCCCGCTGCCGAGGCTGGCCGCGCTGGCGCACTCGGGAGGGAAGCCTTCCGCCTCTGAGTGCTCCCCCTCCTTCCCCCGCCTCCGCGGCCGCCCTGTCTGTCCCAGCCTCTCCTCTTGCACGCTGGGCACTTCGCTCTTCGGTAGCCCCGTTTGGCCCGAGCGCTGGTGCAGCAACCTCTGCCTCGCCGCCGACGAGAAAGAGCACGTCGTTACGTACAGCACGGGCGTGGCCTCCAGGTGTTCCACGTCTGAATCCAGCCACGTGTGTCTTCAGCTTTTCGGCATTTCTGACATGTCGCTCCATCTGGTAAGGCAGGCCTCGCAGTGTGGCCTGCGGAGCTGGCGCGCACTCGCACGCACTCTGCGGCCTCTGGCACGGCGGGCCAGGCTTTGCAGTGCAAGTGGCCGCGAGCGAGGTCGATTCCTGAAAGCCGCTGTTGTCCAACGTTCCGCTCTCGCGTCAGCGCGCTCCTCTTCAGAGAAGTATTTCCAACAGTTTTCTTGGCTTTGGACGCTGTTGCCAGGAGTTGTTGGAACCTTCGCCCTGCTCCCCCGTAGATGTTCATCGCTGGAGCAGCAATGGATCGACCCAGCAGTCAGCTTTTGGTTGCAGAGCGGTGGCTCTTGAAAGCGACTACGTTCTGCTATGCACTAGGAATAGGCTTTAGCCTTCTGAGCTGGCGTTCCTAGTCCTCCCACTCCTTTTGTCCCTCTTCTTCCAGACAACCCTGAAAAAAACGAGCGCGTAAGTATATTGACAAAGACGGTGGCCTTTGCGGTGACTGCGCCTGTGGGTGGGCCCCAAGCATGTCAGATCCTGAAGGAAGGCGGGGAGTCAGAGATCCCCAGTGCCAAGGCCCCTCGGTATCCGCGTTCCAAAAATCTTGCCTGGGCTGCTTCCGTCCTCATCAAACAGCCGTCGGCCCACACTGCCGAAAAACAGAGAAGCCCACGTGAGGCATCCGAAAGCCTTCGATACCAATGATCCCCCCAAACGCGCTTGGTGATAACCGAAAGTGCCCGATCGCGTCAGACAACATCAGAACACTACTGAAACACTCTTCCTTCTCCTCCTTCTCCGTTCTTCCTCTTCCTGTCCTCTCAGTCCTCCTCGTCATTTCTCTTCCTCCTCTGCCTCCTCCCTCCGCCACCTGGTCTTCCTCTTCCTCCATCTATTCCTCGTCCACCTCGTCGAGTCCTCCGCCTCCCGCTTGAACTTTCTCTAGAACTTTCCAGAACCTCAAAAAATCTCCGTCGCCCCCCCCTTGACCTTTCAAAAACACATTCCCCCTCGTCCCTCCTCTCCTCCACCTCCCCCCCCCTCCCCCCCTCCCCTCCCCCTCCTCCTCCTTCCCCCTCCACTCCCTCCCTCCTCCCTCCCCCTCCTCTCCCTGCTTCTTCTCGTGTCCCTCCTCCCCTTCCTCTTCCCCCCCTCCTCCCCTCTTCCTCTTCCCCCATCCCTCCCCCACTCCTCCTCCCCCCCGCCCCCCGCGCATCCCCCCTCCCCCCCCCGCCCATTCCCTTTTATGAACACGCACAGGGGGCAGCAAACACGGCGCCGACGCGCCGCTGGACCGCTGGGGGGGGGGCTGGCCGCCTCCGCGGGCGAGAGCAGGACTCGAAGGACACGCCGGGCGTCTACCTGGAGGTGGAGGTCCCTGCTCCCCGCGCTGCGCCACGCCTTGCCGCGCGGACCGCCCCCTGCGTCTTTCGGGGCTCGGGAGCCGAGGCTCGGGGCCGAAGTTCGAGGAGGGAGGGGGGAGGAGGAGCGTGGGGAGGAGGAGGGAGGAGGAGGCGGTGGACGAGGAGGATTAGGCGGAGGAGGAGGAGGCGGAGGAGAACGACCAGCGTTAACCCAAGACGCATCAATGATGTTGCAATAAGCCCCCCCCCCTCCAGGTTCCCTCTTCATGGGTCCCTGCAAGAGGTTGTTTTCACTGCAAGAGGTGCCCCGTCGGAAGAAGACCGTCTCATAGTCCTCAATCATGCCGAAACGCAGCTCCTTGGATTTTAACGCTGCGAATCAATGTTACTATTGTGTCCTGGTGATCCCGAATCGTGCCAGGACGCCATTCGTGCGACTTTACTCCTCGAGTAAATGTGACTGTTGCGCCCTGACGGTCCCAAGTCTTGCCAGGGTGCCGTTCCTGGGACATCAACCATAAGAGTCCGCTGAACTGCTATATGCTTACAACTAAGACGACGGCGTTCAGGCGAGAGCCACATTTTACAGACCAGCCACCCTCTATCCGTGAAGCTCTTGCTTATTTTGAAGACGAATGGGCGCGGCGCCAAGACTATCGTTACACATTGAAATGGAGCAGCCCTCAATCCCAACTTTTAAGACGAAGGTGCGCGGCGCTATGGCGAGAGCCTTGCTTTGACAACGGCCCGCCCTGCATTCGTGAAGCTCATGCAAGCGTTTAAGACGAATGTGCGCGGCGCTGAAGCGAGAGCTACATTTTGAAAACTGCCCGCCCTCCATCCGTGAAGCTCATGCAAGCTTTTAAGACGAATGTGCGTGGCGCTAGAGCGAGCCATCCCGGCAGCTCTTGCACACATGCAAGGGGAGTGTGCGCGGCGCTACGGCGAGAGCCACATGAAATCAGCCACCCGCCCTCTTCCCCTTATCCGTGACCCTCTTGCATGTTTTTCGGACGGGTGTGCGCGGCGCTGAAGCGAGAGCCGCACTGCGAGAACGGCCCGCCCTCCATCTGTGAAGCTGTTGCACGGTCTGGGCGCGAAAGTCATACAGGGGGAGGAAGTCCCAGGCCAAACTCCAGGCCCGCCCTACCCACACGTCTCGAGGGGCGCGACATGGAGGAGTCTATACACACATGTATATATATATACACATACATGCATATGTATATATTATGTATGCGCATCTTTTTTTTTATTCGGAGAATATTATAGATACAATGCATGAAGACATATACTGAATGAAAAAGCATCAGGGACAGAGGTGGAAGAAGGGGGGGTGGTTCTTCGAAGAGCGAGAATCGAGGTTCGAGATTCGAGGTTTTAGGACCTAGAATGCAGGCTCTGCCGTGGTCGCCGTTCGCGGCGTCTCCTTTCCCGCTCTCCTCACCGCGATCGCCTTCGCATTCGCCTTCGTTGCCGTCGCTGCCGTCGCCGCAATCGTCGTCGTCACCGCCGTCGTCGCCGTCGTTGCCCCGCCGCCGTCGTCGTCGTCGTCGTCGTCGCCGTTGCCTCGCCGTCGCCGCGATCGCCGTCGCCGTCGCGACCGCCATTGTCGTGTCGTCTTCGCCGCCGTCGTCGTCGTCGTCGTCGTCGTCGTCGTGGCCGTCGTCGTGATCGCCGCCCGCGGCGGCCCTGCTCCAGGGGCTTGAGGCCGCAGGGCGGCCGGCGGGCCGCCCCCCCCCCCCTGCGGCGCGGAGCGGCGCGGAGCGGCGCGGGGCGGCGGCCTGGGCGTCGAGGCGCGGCCGGCCCAGGTGGTGCTGGCGGCAGGAGGGGGTCGGCTGTAGCGGCGGTGGTGGAGGCAGTGATGAGAATGGTGTGGTCGTCGTCGTCGTTGCCGTCGTCGTCGTTGTCGTCGTCCTTGTTGTCGTCGTCGTCGTCGTTGGTGTTGTGGTTGGTGCTGCTGTCGTCGTTGAAGTGGAGTTCTCGTACATGAAGTGCAACTGTGGTTGATCCCCCCTGCCCGTTAACCATTTTGATTTTTCTATCTAAGCGCCTTTCCTGGGGCTCGCACCCTTTCTTTTACAAGGTAACTGGAGGGGTCACCAAGCTGGACCCCTGGCCCCCGGTTTACAACAACAACAACAACAACAACGGCTCCCGCCTGATACGTCCTCACAGTGTATTCCCAAATCGCGCTCACGCGCCGGGCGTCCTCACAATGTATGCAGGGATGGCGCTCTCGCATGGGACTTCCTCGCAATTTGTTCAAACGCCGCGGGCCGCCCTGGCCCGCCTTCCCGACCCCGCTGTTTTTGTAGGGTCTACCCGCCCGATCAGCCCGTCTGGTTCTGCCCCGTGTTTTTCAGGAGGGGAAAAAACACACAGACACAATTAATCGTCGATTCCTCAGAAATATGGAAAATATGGGAAGTGGGGGGGAAGACACAAACCCAGAAAATATGGGAAAATGTAGGGGATCCTGTTATTTGTGTGTATTTATTTGTGTGTCCCAGGGCCCCTTCAGTTTTCTGCTCCTGGCCACCGCGTCCTGCTCATCGCTCTCGTGCTCAATCCTTCTCCCTCCCCCACCTGTCCTCTCTTCCCACGTTTTGGCGGCTCAATGGGGTACGGTCGAAGAAGAAGCGGCCGGGCATCGAGGGTTTGGGATAAGCCTGATGAGCGGCACGCGAGCAGGTAAGAGCGAACAGTCTTAAAACGGCTGCGGTTCGTGATGATAATGATGATGATGCTGGTGATGATGATGCTGATGATGATGATGCTGATGATGATGATGATGATGATGGTGATGATGATGATGATGTTGCTGAGGATGATGATGCTGACGCGGCTGATGATGCTGCTGCTGATGATGATGATGATCATGGTTGTGATGATGATGCCGATGTTCATACTGATGATGATGCTGCTGATGATGCTGATGATGATGATGGTGGTGATGGTGATGATGGTGAGGATGAGTATGATGGTGATGATGACGACGACGACGCTGATGATGCTGATGATGGTGGTGATGATGCTGATGATGATGATGATGATGGTGATGATGCTGATGATGCTGATGATGATGGTGATGATGATGATGATGATGATGATGATGATGATGATGATGATGATGATGATGATGATGATGATGATGACGGTGGTGGTGGTGGTGGCGATGATGATGATCATGGTCGTGCGCTGACTTTCATGGGGTTCAGGGGCGGTGCTAAATTGGCCCTCCTGGATCTGAATTGCATGCACGGCCCGAGACGGGGACCCGATGCCGCCCAGGGGCCCACGGCGGCGACCTCGCGGGCCCTCGCGGGCTCAAGCTGGCGCCGCCCAGACTTCCAGGCCGAACCCAGCCGACGAGGAAGGGCGTCCAAGGGTGGGCTCTGCAGCAAAGCATGGGAGCCTGATGTATCCTCTTAATTCCGGCTTTGGCGTCGACTAGCGTCGATCAGCGTCTGGGAGTCGATGAGACAGCGCCGATTTAGCGTCGGCTAGCGTCGATTAGCGCTGAGTTCGCGTCGATCAGCGTCGATGTAGCGTCGACGAGCGTCGATTCGCAGGAGCCGACAAGATGGTATGGGAGGCTCCCGTGAGTTGCCACCGAAGGTAGCCCCTCGCCGCGCGCGGCCGACGTGGAAGCGGTGCGGGGACCATGAGGTCCAGGGGCCGCGCCGCGGGGCGACGGGGGACACGGGCTGGCGCGCGGGGCGCTTGAGGCTCGCGCGCGAGGCTGCGTGCCAGCAGCACCGGTTGCTGCACTGTGCCATGGCCGCTTGCCTCGCCGCGCGCCTCGTCGCCCGCGATTCGGCGATCTGCTCTTTGGCCGCCCCCCCGTCGTCGAGGCAGAGCGGCTCGGGCCTCGCTCCGCCTCCTCTTGCCGCTCCGCCTTGCGTGGGATGCATCCCCTGTCGCAGGCGGCGCAGCGCCGCGGCTTGGCTTGTCGGACGCTCCGCCGCTGCACTCTGCGCGGAGGCCTACCACGCGCGGGCCGTCGGCGTAGCGTCCGCATATCGCGCACTAGACCAGCGCCTTGCTGCCATGGCCTTGGCACCGCTCGGACGTGTGCTTTCTTCTCGGCGAGGACCATGGAGGAACATCCTGCGTCATGGAGCAACAGAAAACACGCACGAAATCGAAGCACACACCGGGAATAGACGTCCGAGCGATGGCGAGTGGCCGATGAACCACATGCGGTGGCTCTGCGCCACGCTGGCGTTGCACCACCGCGGTCGCGCCTGCAGCCCGATGCTGGCCAGATCCGTTACTTCGGCGCTGGCCCTACAGGGTGATCCACGGGTGCCGCCGCAGCCGTTCCTTCCGGCCTGCTTTAGCTGCCAGAGCGTTGGCGAAAGTTGAGTTAAGACCGTTTTTTTGTGTTTCTTGGGCGTGGGTCGAGAAAAGAAAGCACCGCGGTCGCACCTGCAGTGGTGCAGTCAACATGCGTAGTAAGTATGGGCACCCTTCCCAAGGGCACCCTCGCATCCGTGCCTTCTCAATCCATCCTTGGCCAGTTTCGTTGGCCGCGCCCCGCTCGAAAAGCTTCGAGATGGGCTCCCAAGGCCCTTGCATCCTTTCCCCGCATCCTTATTATACGGGTTGACGGTACTGCAGGGCGCCTCGGCTGCAGCCGCCTATCCGCTGCCGCTCCTGCTGCAGGGTCCGCGCCGCTGGCCGTTGCCGCCTCGCCTGCCGCTCGTGCCGCCGCCGCCGCCGCCGCTGCGGGTGCCGCCGCGGCCAAGGCGACGAGGGAGGAGTCCGCGAGGAAGAGGAGGTGGAAGGAGCCAGGAGGAGGAGGAGGAGGAGGAGGAGGAGGAGGAAGAGGAGGAGGAGGAGGAGGAGGAGGAGGAGGGAGGAGGAGGAGGAGGAAGGAGCCAGGAGGCGGAGGAGGAGGGAACGAGCGCTTACTGGTGCCACTGGCAGGGGGGGGGGGGTCCAACCCCCGCCTCCCGCAAACGAGGAGGTGGGGGGGGGGGTCGGGAACCGCCCCCCCCCTCCCCCGGAAAAAGGAGGGGGGGGGTGCAGATTCTCCCCTGCCCCCTCCGCCTT